TTTGGGGTGATCGGCGGGGCGGGAATTGAAATACATTCCCAATCTACATACTTGCCTACAGTAATTTAAGCTAAAGAAACGCCAAACGGTGCGCGAAAGTTCAAGTTGCACGACTCTATTTATTCTCTGGTGTTTGTTCATACAGAGAGATCACCGCTCACCAGCGAAGTTATCTAGAGCGAGGTCGTCGATATGCGAACGGGACTACGGAAACATGAGTTTAGAACAAGTGTCGACGCGGAAAGCCTCGTATATGCGTCTTATTCGGTCTCTAACCTTCACCCCAATGTGTTCAACGGGTTCAAAGTGTCACATACACACTGCTTACCTTCATGCCCAAGTCCAATGCTCCGACTGGGGTGTAACTCGTGCAGCACCAGAAGTTCTGAAGTTGAAGACTACTATGTTTTCGTAAACAGCAAGAGGTTGGCCTAGATTTAATTACCAGGCAAGGATTGCTGAGTCATAGAGAGATCAACAGTGGTCGGCGTGTCGAGCAGATGGCATAGCATTAGAAAGCGACAGTTTGATACGCAAGTTTAAAAGATACTTGATTGAAGGGACTCTATCTCTAGTAGTAGTTGAAAATTCCAATCACGGATGGTATGTAGATGCAAGTGGCGCATATTGAACAGGAGGGAAAGGGAGGGAAGCACATTTGAGAATGGAAATTTATCGCTTGGCGAGCATGGAGTCCAGAGCGATCCTTTCAGGTAGTGTTACTATTAGTGGTAGTGATGGTATGGAACTAAGCTCAAGAGATGCAGATCCTTCAGAGTTCGGACATCCGGCCCGATGACGTTGCTACTGAAATGAGTTGATCCTTGTACAGCTTCATGTCAAACCACGACCACAAAGACGAGGACGACGACATTGAGCTCGGCCGTCTATCGCTGAGCGCCCACACCGAGCATTACGAGCGCGACGACGATGAGCAGTCGGACAGTGACGACGAGGGCAACAGAGCTCTCCTAGGGGATTCCGATGAGAACGCGAAGACCAACGATGGCCCAGCCACGCCCAAAAATTGTGGCCACAGATAAAAAATATCGTAATAGAGGTGCGCGATACCGAGCGCGTCGGTATATGTTATTGACTTCCGTACAGAGTGCACCGACATTATTATTCACAACAATCGGACTGCTCTTCACAGGGGAACTGCTCGACCAAGTCTCTGTTCGTGCCATTTAACACTTTCGCGCGGCGCAGACTGATGGAAATAGCGCTGGAACGCGATGGTCGAGGTGGACCAGCTCATTATGATCATCCCTGTCGTGCTCAATCTCAAAGGCAACCTCGAGATGAACCTTTCCGCGCGACTGAGTACGGCGGCGAACATGGGCCAGCTGGACGACGCCGGTGTACGGCGCAAAATCATCCTCGGCAACCTGTCTCTTCTTCAAGTACAGGCCACAGTGGTATCCTTCGTTGCTGCATGCGTGTCCATCATTCTCGGAATGATCGTTCCCCACGCCGAGCCAGAAACGGCTACCAGAGCTCTATTTGCCCGACGTCCCCGACCCTCATTGCCCCTTGCCACAGAGCGCAAGTCGGGATTGGCTGTGTTGGTGATTTCCGCTTTACATTGCGAAGTTATAGCTGATCGGCGTCTTCAGATTCGTGATGATATCTTCAACAGCCATGGCGTCTGCCTGTCTTTCCAGTATAGTACTGGGGTCATTTATGTGCGGACTCATTGTACTATGTCGTCGATACGGACGCGATCCAGGTGATTATTTGCTCCGTTTCCTTCTCGGTGCCCGTCTGATATTCTGTTTCCAAGATAACATTGCACCCCCAGTGGCTTCCTGTCTTGGCGATCTGGTTACGCTGGTGTTACTGGGTATCGTGTCGACCTGTCTGATCCGCTTTCTGCACACGCCCGTTCCTGCTATCCTCGCACTCATCGTTGTTCTATCTGCGATTGCATGTGGATTGTCAACGCGAAAAAATATTCACGTACGAGACCTCATTTGGCAGGGCTGGTCCCCGTTATTTGGTGCCATGGTTATCAGCAGTGGGACTGGTATTGTTCTGGATCTGTTTGTGAGCAGATATGAGGGTTTTGCACTTCTAGCTGTTGTCATAAGCGGTTGGTTACATTTTTCTTCTTCCATGTACACACATTTATGCTTTACTCCAGGTCTACCCGGGAGTGTGGGCTCCATCTTTGCTTCTAGAGAGTCAACTGCCCTGCATGCTGCTGCTGCTGGGACCGCATCGTCTAGCCGTAAAGGCGAACCTAGTGCAAAGCTCGTAATGCTGACGCTGATTTTTGTGACGGTCCCGGTGGAGATTATATTTCTTGCTCTCCTGCACTTGCTCGGATGGCTCAGACTACCATTTGTTTTTGTGGCCTTTGCCATTGTATTCTTCTGCTGCGCGGTGAGTAGCGTCGTCTGCCGGGGAAAGGTCTCGTTGACTGATTGTTTAGGTCACCTCATCACTCATCATCGCGCGCGCACTCACAAACTATCTGTGGTCGAAAGATCTCGACCCAGATATGTATGCGCTACCAATACACTCTGCGCTAATGGATTTAATTGGACAGCTGTTGCTCGTCCTATGCTTCGAGATAGTGACGTTGTTGGGCGTCAAGCTAAAACTTAGACTTACACCACACGAATGAGGCCCTGTTTAATAGAAAAAGTGGACAAGATACTTGTATTTGATATACAGGAGGAAGGAGCAGTGAGTATTCTCGTGCTAAGTAACCTTCATCGTGGTTGTCTGTCCCTAATAAATGACCCGCACTTGAAGACAACTCTTACTTTCACGTTAGAGGATGGTGATGGAACCCAGAGAATGCGCAAGTCGAAGATATATGCGACTTCTTCGTCGAGTATATCAACTCGGACGTTCGTGTACGTTAACTTCATCTCAGCACTCAAGAAGTTCACTCAACAGACTTTACAAGGTCCCTTGTCCAATCGCTTGCTCATAATTGCTGGTACGTTCAGTTCTTCGTGGTCGAACGCTACATGCTATTGATTATCCTTATACTATATCAATCCAATAATGAATAACGAATAACCGTTTGTGTAGTTGAAAGGCATTCATAATCCAGATTGCAAAAAGCTAGCAGCTTCTGACTCTGTTCTCAGGCAGTGAATCACCCAAAAAACGGCATTCCGGTCGACGTTGATAACAACAAGCTGCCCAAGACGCTCATCCGCCGACTGGTATGCTGCCGAAGTCGTGGATCAGCGTCACACAGACTACTACCGCTCTGACAATTTCAAAGTCCTTGGCCAGCTATATTCGAGTGGAAGCAACCGGACATCATGACGGAACTCCCGAGAGCCACGTACTGTCCCTATAACGCTCCGGCGATACGTCGAGCGCGCATTTGACGTGTACACCGACCCCACAGATCTTCCGCGGATACGCTGAGGGTTCAACTACGTCTGCTTGACGCATAAACTGCGAACACGTCGGGAACCAACCCAGTTGTTGGAGGAGGCGGAAGGGGTGATTGGCACGATTTTGGCACACAATGGAGGAATGATCGAATGTGGAAGATACGCACGCACGCGTCGCAGCTTGTGCCCGACGTGAAGCGGCATCTGTACCGGGCGAGAAGGGCAAGAAGGGGGAGAAAGACCCGATTCCGATTCCGCCAAGTGATACGTATGCATCATGTTTTCCTGGATGTTCAAAAACTTCCATAAAACAGAACACTTTAATCCTCCTCGACCTCAGTCGATTGTTTCTTCAATCCCCATACGCCCCAAGAAGACTGGTGCTTTGACTTGGGTAGGGACAGACCCCATGTTATCGCATAGTGTTGTAGAACGAGGTTCAACTCCTCTACCTCGTCGAGGAACTCCAACGATGATATTCTGGGTCCATTTCTTCAAACCAGAGAACAGCGCAAGTCAAGAAAAACGCGCACCTATTGACTTCCGTGCGAGAGATGTATTGTAAACGAATGTCTCGCAGGGATAGAGCGGCTGCCGCGGTAAATCCTACATTCAGGAAGCGCGCCGGGAGGGATACTTGCGTTGGATATGGTACAGCTCCGGCAAGTCAACTTGTCGCGACTGGATAGTAGACATCAGCGGATGCACACCATATGCTGGACGCCTCTGACCTTGAGATTGTTTACCATGACGCGTCCAAATGAATCCTCAAGGCCGAACATTTCGTATACGACGCTGCCAAGAATTCCATCAGAGAACTGTTGTCTAAACCACGTCAAGAGGGCGTTTGAAGAGTCTGGAGACATGTAGGCGAGCACACATTCGAAAAGGAGAAGAGTCGGTCGCGAGGAGGATAACAGCCGCTCGGGTCCTTCAAAGAGAATGGATGCCAGTGTCTCTTGTGGCGGTCGTCGTAAATCAGCAGGAACAAGATTATAACGTGGCGACTTTAGTCCAGTTCCTCCACCAGCTGCAGATACAGAACGTCAATGCAGGTGATCGCGTCGAAAAGCAGTGACTGACACACTTGGATCTTGGCTGGATCTCCAAGAACAGAGCCCAGTGGTTTACTTTTTTGAATGGTCATGGCCTTTTTGCTCGTTATCTCGGGGAAATCGATTTCAATGTACTTGGCAAGATGGCTGTTATGTTCCCCAGTCTGCATTCACAGTAAGACAACGACATGGACGCTGATCAGAATACATACGGCAATGCGCCAGAACCGTGAATCGCTTCCAGCGCCTAGGCTGACAATCTGACACTGTGTCCCATCTTCGCGCGACAGGGCCAGCCATTGCGCCACGAGGTCATCAATGGCTACAGTGCGAACATAGGTTCCAATGTTAATCAGAGGTGGCCTTGGCGGTTGTAGATGTGCTCGAGGAACAAAAGCAGAGACGAATGGGTCAGTCAGATAACCCTTTTGAACAGCAGACAGCCTGGCGAGTGCAGCGTCATTGTCGGTGAGCCGGACGGGCGTATCTGGATCAGAGGATGGTGGTAGAAACATAAGAAATAGTTTCAAATTTCAATTTGTCGTCTAGAAAACAGGGAAAAAAATACCGGCACGCTACAAAAAGACCCCAAGGAGATTCGAACCCCCGACCCTGCGATTACGTAATCTGAATACGTAAGCTGCAATCGCATGCTCTAACCACTGAGCTATGGAGTCGCGATAGAAAGCGTATAAAGAGGGTTGAGACCTATTGACTGGCAGGGTGCGCCGAACTCAGATAGGTCGTGGCCTGATTTTGGCAGGCCTCGGGGCACTCTAACTGTTGTCGATTCCTTCGTCCCAGAGTGAAAGAAGGTACGAGGCGAACGCGTGAGTCCATTTACAGATGGTGATGGTTCAGTGGGTGATTGTGGCTGTGCCCGATCTGTCTCTTTCTTTCCGCCTCTTTCCCTTGTCCTTGGGCATCTTCTCTGCCTGGGCTCACTAGAATACTGTTGCCCCGCCACCTTCGAAACCTGTTGTCCTGGTCCGTCTTGGCCATTCCAGTTAAACCGTAACCTTAGTGGCGGCCACACGCACGTTCACCCAGCTTCACCCAGCGTTCGCTGAAGCGATTCTTGCTGGAGACTTCGTCAAACTTGAGCTTAGTGAGAGACAATGATGTAACAAAGGACAGGAGGGTAGGCAGCTGACTACAGGAGCTTCCCTTAGGCAGCTTGAAGTGCAAAGGTTATAAGTTGTTCAGTAACTTTAATTTACTGTGTTTACGCTAAAATTATTTCCGTTGTTTCCAGCAGTTTTTTTTTACATTCTCTGTAGAGACGGGGCTGTTCCTTATTTACTGCATACTCGCTGAACGTTTGTGGGCATTGTTTCCGAAAAGGTTGGGTCTCTTGTTTTCGATTTGATGACAAAGTACTGACATTGTTCTAAGCCTGCGATTTGCACAGTTGCCTATTTCGACATGAAGAGCAGCACCTCTGGGCTCTTGTTCTCGGTTCATGCATTACGTGCTATCCGTGCGGGTATATCACACGGAGGAAAGGTCAAGGCAGCACATACTATTTTCCGCCCTCCGAACATCTGCATTCACACAAACATTCTTATTTGGAGGCGTTTCACAATGGCAGAGTCCCCACCACCGTCTTATGCAGACTCCATCTCAGATACCTCTTCAAGTCTATCGTCATTATCGACTGTGGGAGAAGGAGACTCGGGCTCTCCTACTTATCGCAATCATACCCATCGTCCATCTCGGTCTTCTTCTGGAGACAGTGGTTATTTCTCAGCTGGGGATCCCCCGTCTCCTATGCGTCGCAATGCTCCTCCGGCAGGAGCTGCGGGCTCTCTTGCTATGTATTGCAATCATATCCATCGTCCATCTCGGTCTTCTTCTGGAGACAGTGGTTATTTCTCAGCTGGAGATCCCCCGTCTCCTGTGCGTCACAATGCTCCTCCGGGAGGAGCTGCTGAGTACGTCGCGGGAGGGAGAGAGGGCGGCGCGAGGCCAGCGATGGAGAGCTGGTCGAGCGACGTCCGAACGACCGAGCGATTGAGAGACGCGTCGAGAAAGAGAAAAGAGGGCCGCAATCATATACATCGTCCATCTCGGTCTTCTTCTGGAGACAGTGGTTATTTCTCAGCTGAGGATCCCCCGTCTCCTGTGCGTCGCAATGCTCCTCCGGCAGGAGCTGCTGAGTACGTCGCATTTCGATGGCTTTCAGGCTCTCCCACGGAAATGGAGAGCGGTTATCAGGGTGGTGCTATGCCCAATGTCGCTGGCTTTCGCGCCGCGCCGGTTGAGGACAATACACATATTAGCGCTGCGCGCGCACACCCTAAGTTGAACATGCTCCTCGACATTTACCGCATGACTCGAATTGACGCTGAGGATAGTGACCTGATTGAGTCGTTCAGTAAGTGATATGTATTTCATACCTTTGCTATACGCACATTGACGTCAAGACTATAGCGGAGATATGGCTAGTTGCGAACGCGACACGTCCTAAGGAGGATATAAATGTTACGTGGCCAGGAGACATCGTAGAGACGAGTGTCTCCGAAGCTTGGTCCTTCCTAGTTGGTAATTATGCCTTCTTGGACGACAAGAGATATGGCACGAAGAAGTGGGGTGATCTTCAAGACAGTAAGTGCCGTCTTGTTTCCCTCCCCTTCTTCCTAGCACTGACGATAGAACTCGCAAGTGCTGATGCACCTCAAATTGGAGGTGCCCTACATACATGGCGTGAAACACTGGAGTACGTGTTACAGCGCTTCTCCCCTCGGCCCTGTGCTTACCATCGCAGTGAAGCGATTCCTCGAAAGGAACGAGAACACGCCCGATAGCGATTACTTGGTGTTTATTCCTGGGCATAGATCCAAGTACCCCGCATCCGTCGCATGGAAGAAATGGGAGAAGATGGCGCACACGATGGGACAGCACGTCAAGCGCGCGGCGACGTGGCAGTTTATGCGCGCGCGTTTTGTATTTTACAAAGAAACATGCCATGTGGAGCGGGAGAATTTTGGTGGTTTGAGGTTGTGTGAGTGTTGAATAGTGCTTTCGGTGTGAGATGAGTGGCTGATTACTTGACTTTTGGTGTAGCTATGGAGCATATGCTGAAGAGGAGGGAGATGGCCGATTTTGTGGATCTGCGCTCGGAGGAGGTGTTGTCGTATGAGACTTGAGTTTGAGCTGTCGGTTGGGATTTTTACTGGGATCACCAACGACTGGGAAGAGCTTAGAGGCTGAGCTTTCAGCACTCTACGACAATTGAAACATGTACTACCTCTACTCTATATACATAACGGAATCTCAGTAAGTATTGGAGGATCTACACTCTGCGATAAGTATCTACGGTGGGTTAGCGTTGTGGCGCATTTATTCAAATGAATGCTTCACGAAGGTTCTACGCGTCCGAGAACTCCACGCCGTCGGATGTCACCCGAGAAACCGACTGTCCTTTGAATCGTACGCTAAACTCGTTCACAGAATCTGGATTCCAGTAGCCAAATGCAGCAGCTGCACATTGCAGACACCGTTCCGACGTCCACTCTCCGCAGCCTGTAATTGTTACGGCGATGGTGAACTTCTTCCCATTGCGTAAATGAGGCCTGCGTAGGATGTCCCGCAGCCAGGGAATGTCGCGCATCTCGTGCAAAGAGGCATTCCGCCAATTGAAACCCCTCATCCACGACCATAGGTCGCATCGTTTGAGGATTGACTGGGGCATGGGCACAGTGAGGCAAATATCTCTCGTCCGTACGCGCTTGTTAATACTGACACTATGCAGCAGGGCAACGAAGGATTCCAAGACCACATGCGATGATTCGATAGAAACAGAGGGGATTGTGAGGATTTCGGGTACAGCGTCCAGATCTAAGTCGGTACTGACAGTTGAGCACTTGAGATAAACGAGAAAAGCTGAGTCGACACACCGATACCGAATCCTAGATCCGTTCCACATACGATTGAAAGCTGGACAAGAGTTCTCGAATAGTAGACGAGGGGTGTCTTCATTGTAAGCTCGAGTCTCTCAAAGGGATGTTCGTCCTGAAAGAATCTTGGCTCAAATACACACCGAAGGTGGACCGGTCCCACCAACGCAGGAGGGTGAGGACTGAGAGGTTCTGGCTCTCGCGGTTCCCGATATTTTGAATCTGCAAAAGACAAACACTGCACGTTGGGAAGTGACGCTACAACGGCAATGGGGCTGATAGCAGGCCGAAATTGGTAACCCTTGATCACTAAGTTCACAACGGAGGGAAGAGGGGGAACAGTCGCTTCCATGAGGGTAACATACCGCTTCCACTTCCCCTCGTCATAAGGCGCGACGGTGAGGTCGATGATGAGGGTCTCCAAGTTGGGAATACGGAGAAGGGTATAGCGGGCTACGTGACGAACACGGGGGCTGAAGAGGTGCTCGACAATCCTAATCGTGCAGGAGTGTATAAGCGGTGCGAATGACGATTCGCTAGAGGGCCGTATGCATGGGTGAATGTACGGGACAGCGCCGCACTCCTCGTCAATATCGATTCGGAAGGGATCCAACGTGATATGGCGGAATAAATGACTGCGACAGCGGTACTCGAAGGAGCGACATACGAGCCGGAGAGCCTTCAAATCTGCTACGTGCTTCTCGACGTCGCTGAACGCGGCTATATCGATAATTTCGTGGACAAGTTCTTGAGGAAGGACGTCAATGGAATAGTGGTGATGACTGTCCATAGAGAAGGCAGGTAAACGCGGTCCATCCGAGTCATGATGATCATGAGTATGATGTGTGGGCGGTGAAATGTGACAAACATCTGAATTCAGATCTCTGTCAATGTGTTAACGTTACATTGATGCTGGAGTTTCGTGGGGTTTCGTTGACTCTCTTACCTTCAAAGCAGATCTAGAAATTTGCTTCAATCGAGGAATTGAACGGGTTTGACACTTGAAAGTGGCCAGGTCTTGAGTAGCTTGAGTACTTAGTTGAAGTTAGCTCAATTCACCGGCAGGTTACAGTCCTTACCGGCAGCTTACCGGAACTTGTCGAACTCTCAGTCAGTTCCTTCTGGCAAGACGCCGTACAGATTGCCTGACATACGACGCAGTTGAATTGAGTTGGCTTCAAGTTCACCTGCCCCTACAGTTGTTCGTAAGTACTGGTTCAAGTTTACTAGCGTAGTATGCCTCGGCGCCGCATAGATTACAAGAAGTGGAGGATAGCATAGAGCCCGTATTCCGGATCCTCAAATGCTAGTCCAATCTGCCTTCGCCTCTGCCTCTGGATCCGAGTCCACGACCAAAAGGGAACACGCAACAAGCCGCGCAACTTCTTTCTCTCACCAATTCACCACGCGGGTAAGCAACATCCGCTCGCAGGCAGGAATCTGTTCAGGGTTGGTTTGCAGTACGAGACGTTGGAGGGAAGGGAGCGTCGTGATGGTAGAGTTTGCGATGTAATCAAAAAGGATCCCAATCATGTCGTCTCTCTCCCTCGCGTCGAGTATCACCATTGTAAGTTCGACCAAGGTCTGGTCAAATATTTTGAGGACATCGATAATCATCCCCGTTATAAGACCGTGGACGGCGAGTCTGGTTAGCTGACATTGACTGCGATGAAAGGAATCAATTGACGGTTGCATAGGCCATGGCTCATATGACCGAAGGTCAATACTCCGGAGTGCTGGTAGCGTTAAAATGTCAAGGACCGTGGAAAAGAGGTAAT